TTTATTTGGTTGTCTGGTCTTAGCCTCGTCACTACTTCGCCGAGGTTAGGCTAGACACTTACCAGCACATGGGGTCGGTTGTGCTGATACTACACCCTGCACTGTGTGTAGATACTGCTACCGGAGCGTTTGGACCGCAGTGAGGGTGTTGTCTTCAGTCCACACATGCGACCCGAGGTAGTCCTGCAGACGTCCGCGGGCCTTGGCGTCTCTTCCTAGCTTTTCTCTTTCTATTTTTACTTACTCAGAGACATACTTATGTATTTCATTCAGACTTTGTTGTAGTGTTCTTAGACAGTCCGTGACTTGTGACACCAAATTTTGGGTAGTATTGTACTTCAAATTATGTAGCAGTGTTTGGTTGGAATATTAAGTTTCGGCTTCCGCATTTCTGATTGTTTAATCTTATTCCGTTGTTTAACCACTTAGTATTTTATATTGTTTAATATGTTTAAATAAAAAGGGAGATAATTTTGCAATATTCGGTTTGCCTAGCTTCCACGAGTAGGCGCCATCACGACTCCCGAGGGCGAAAAATCTGAGTCGTGATACTAGTAAGTGTTGATTGAGCAGTTTTGGTTTTGATAATTGACAAAGAAACACATGCATGAACCAGGTCATGGACAATGTACATATGTCACAGTTAGATTCAAGCAAAAAGCATGCACGTGCAAGGTATAAACATAAGTGATTATTTCTGATAATCCCTAAACGAAAAGATTGCATAATTGATAAGGACCAGGACTCTTTACTTGAAGAGAACTCTATTCAAAATAAGGAAAGAGTTGGGAGTTGAAGTTAACTAGAACTTTTCCATCAAGGAAGAGTAAAACATTAAAACTCTAGTTAATCGTTATTTTACTAACTCTATAAATATCAGTTGTGTTCTCTTTACCGTGACGCACATATACGAAGTTAAGCAGAATTGAGAGCAAAATAGCAAGATATTTTGTGAGCAATACCTGTGAAATTTAAGAGTGCAATCCTGAAACTACACGGGCCAGATTGAAGAACCAAATCTATAAAGAGTTTATGTGTCTGTTTTTATTTCAGTCCAAAGTGTAGTAGGCGTTTTGAGTTATACCTTTCAGCTTTCTTAGAAGCAAATTCTACTATGTACCTGAGTTGTATCATTCAAGTTAGAGTTAACTTGAAGTAATCGCAACTTCCTGTGGCGTGTTTCTACAAGAGTTAGAGTTAATCCTTAGGTTGCAAGAGGTTGTAAATTCTGAGTTGTATTGTTCAAGTTAGAGTTAATTTGATGCATTCACAGCAACATGTGTCATGTTGCTACAAAAGTTAGAATTAATCCTTAGGTTTGCAAGAGTTTGTAAAAAAATTTGGCTCAGAGTTATAGTGATATGTTGGGAGAAATCCTACTGGAAAGTAAGTCGTGGTTTTTTCACTTTTGATCCGAGTGTTTTCCACGTAAAAATTCGTGTGTTCTTTTATTTTCTGCATTATTTATTCTACAACTCTAGTATAAGGAACGCATAGAAGAACTAAATCCTTCAATAGTTCAATGCACGCAAAAATTAGGCACCACAAAATCATCCCTCTTGTGTGATATTGAAGTATAAAACATCACTAACTATATAAGTTCTAGCTACGCCCCAGTCAACAATGCACGTTTTGGTGTAACAAACACGAAAGCAAAGTTAGCCAAGCCTTTTTCTTCTTCATTTTGGTTTCTTTCAAGCAAAAAACATAATGTATATACGCAGGCACAAGCACCACCAATCATTTAATTTCCCAAATTTTTAGACTCAAAACGATATCATAATTTCAACTTGCAAACTTTCCAATCACTTCTTGGTCCACTTTATGGATAGGTTTTTTCTTCAAATTTCTTCAAAGCATCCTTTTCATGTCCAAAACTTGCATGAAAAAGGTTGAAAAGTGCAGAGTTCTTAGCACACACAGCACGGCACCTTTATATAAGTCATGTTATCGTGGGATTAATTTCACGAATAATCATTCTAAATTTCGTATTTATAGTTACAAAATTAATAATTGCAACAAAAAATAATTAAACTATGTTGTATATTGCAAAACTAAAAAACACTAAAAAATGTCATGTCACTCGAAGGCATAGATGGTTACTTCAACAATTCACCTTACATAATATTCATATACTATCACTTAAAAATAATACTCATTTTTTCTAATCCACTCTCGGTAAAAACACAAGAAGTGCATGACACGTGTCATCAATATAAGAGTTATTGTTTGACCATGATCAAACGACATATATATTGTTATAATGTTAATTATCTCTTAACCACGATATATGTCATCCATACGAATGCATGATATATGTAATTTTAAATTGTTTCCAATCTACAATATAGGGTAAGGTAGTTGTTGCCTTCTACTTATTTTATTGTCCAAATTTTGTTATTACTCACAATTTTTTTTCTTGATTATGAACACATATAAACAGTGTGTAAAGATGGATCAAAGTAGTTTATCTGTGACTTTTACTGATTCTTGAGAAAAAGAGTTGTTGAAGAAAAGGAAAGCAAAGACTTTGATTATAACCACAAACTCCAACTTCTTTTNTTCAAGATTTTTTTTTCATCCACAAATGTGTATGAAGAGCTAGACTTGTCCAAGTATATGTCAAGAAGAATGTGCTAATTTATGTGGGGCTTGCAAAGTTGTGGCAATACAAAGCCACCCAATGGTTATCACACAAATATTATTTTTTGTATAATTATTTGGTATTTAATACCTGTTGGTCTGAATAATCTAGATTTGAGTCGTGTAGAGTCTATTAAAGGGAAAAATGATATCTACCATGGGTTTCTCCATTCAGTTATTTCGAACTCGAAATCTCTAATTAAGGTTAGAATGATCCTATCTATTCCACCATACCCCTTGGTGATTTTTTTTTTTTTTATAAAAAAGTTAGTGGAGAATATATTCTGAGCTGAGGGTCTATTGGAGATAGCTTCTCTACCTTCTCTAGGCAGGGGCAAGACTACGTAAACACACCCTTCTCCAGACCCCACATGAGAATATACTGAGGATATTGTTATTGTTATTGTAGCGGAGAATATAAGACCGAAAACTTCACAATATTTTCATATTTTTTTTCTCTATCCAAATAAACAGGTAGGGAACGAAGTTACAAAAGATATTTGCTTGAAAAGCTAGAAAGTTATTGAAATTTGAAAATATCTCTGCAGCTCTACCTCCTGCTAAAAATATCTATAACATGGAAACAATTATTGACGGATTGGAAAGGATGTAAATATTTAACCGTAACATCCTCAGACTTTAGACAGAGTTTCTCATCGACAAAAACACAAAAAGAATACTAGATATATAAGTTAACAAGTCTTAAATGACGTGTTTTAAACATGTGAGCACCGAACCCAAAGCGGACAATATTACTGGCGGGCTAGATTGTTACATTAACTTATTAAAGGAAAGTAAATAATTACTTCCTTATTTTGGAGGGATCAAAAGAGAGAACTCGAGGAATATGCTTTTATTTAATCGTTTAGGGGCACGATTACTTTGAGTTCTTCCTTGGAAGTTTTACTTTGGGGTAAAGCAGACTAAAGGCAACTTCATTTTCAAAACTTGATCGAAAAACTCTAATTAAGGATGAAAAAGCATGTATCGTTCCATCACAACTTTGACGATAACTCAAGGCATATGCAAACCCACAGCCCCAATCCTAACATTTATTTTCACCCAAGTAAACACCGAGATAAGGGGTGCAGTTGATGGGACTGCTCTTCCCTTAACGAAAGTCTCGGATTCAAGCCCTGAGTATGAAAAATCCTTGGTAGGGAGCGTTTCTCCCCGAATGGGGCCCTACGCGGCGCGAATTCAAATATATAGTCAGGTTCCAATGCGAGTATCGGATACCGGGTGAGAAATAAAAAAAAAGGAAATGGTAAAAGCTGTTTTTCTAGCATAATCCTACCTTATTTATTCATTATAATTATTTTTTTGATCTTACTATATTTATTCATTATAATTATTTTTTTGCATGTATATATATACTTTAAGCCTAAAAAATTAAATTCCATAAAGGTTAGACTCATAAAAACCCGTCCTAAATCCTGTATTTGTTTTTCTAACAGAGTGTAATTTGTATGCACCACAATCAGCTGCTAAATTAGAGGTGACTCAGACAACACAAGCAAACCTCATCTTTTTATAAAAATATCAGAAATAAAACAAGACTTACCATAAGATATTCTCAAGAATTAAGAGGTTGTAAAAATTGATACAGTACCTCTTTATAATATCATCCTTATATAAACAATACTTCTTTATTAAAGCTAAATTTTTTTGGAACCAAATCTCATGTTCTATTATAATATATGTTTTATATAACAACAATTCGCTATAACATCCAAAAATATTCAGAACAAGCGAAGTTGTTATAGAGAGATTTGACTGTATCTGAATTCCACTGACACAACTAATTTAAATTCTTATCGAAGAGCCATTGACGGGATAAAACGTTTCCTACCAAAAGCTTCTCAATTTCGACAACCAAATTTGAGACTTTTGACTAAAAGGTGAATGGATCCCAACAATTCCACCACACTTCCGTTCAAAAAAAATTGCAAAATTATGATACTTTTTGGGATGGTCTTTAACTTTGGCCCTGCTGGTTTCCATGAGCAAAATTTCATGATCAAAAGTTAAAAGTGTTGGTCACGAGGCAAGCGAAGGGTAACACTTGTTATTGTATGGTTGGATTTTAGTGGTACAATCCGCAATTCACGCAAATAAAGAAACAAGAATTGTCCTCCTTTTTTTTTTTAATATCACATCATATTGCATTTTTCTTGACTTGGTTAAAATCCAGGACTATAAAGAAATATAAAATTGTTTTTTTATATGTCATTCATCAAGTTGAGTACAAACCTCCAAAAGGAATGCTGACCTGTTTTGAACTTTTACACTTTTTTTCCTTAATTTCTTAAATAAAAACTCTCAAAATCCCTCTTCCATATACCAATATTGCATCCCCTTTATAAATAAACATCCAAAAGCTTCACCAATTCCTACATCTTCTATTTTCAAAAAAATACACACACACACACACAAAATGTCTTTAACACTTCATTCTTCAACTTCTTTTATCAATAAAAAAGAAACAAAAAATTCAAGACATCATGATGATATCTCAAACATGACTTGCTTTGCTCAAATCAAGCCATCATTCCATCTCAAAGCAAAGAATTCCAAAGAAATTCAATTCTTTGCTCCTAATATGGAAGGAAGAAATATAAACAATGAAGAAGAAGGAGAGAAACTTCATGTACTAACAACTAGTACTCATAGCAATAATAGTAGTACCACAAAGGTACCAGTTTTTGTGATGTTACCACTTGATACTATAAATATTGGAGGGAACTTGAACAAGCCGAGAGCGATGAATGCTAGTTTAATGGCATTAAAAAGTGCTGGAGTTGAAGGAGTAATGGTGGATTGTTGGTGGGGTTTAGTTGAAAAAGATGGACCTTTGAAATATAATTGGGATGGATATTATGAACTTGTAAAAATGGTTCAAGAACATGGTTTGAAGCTTCAAGTTGTCATGTCTTTTCATCAATGTGGTGGCAATGTTGGAGACTCTTGCAGGTATTATTATAAGGCTCCTTTAACCATTTTTGTTTTATGCTTGAAATAAAAGACAGTTCAGTGTGAAGTATCTCGCGATTATGCAAGGTCCGGGGAGGGCCGCACCTTAAAGGGTGTGATGTAGGCAGCCTGCTCTGATTCCACGGCTCGAACTTGTGACTTATGCTTGAAACCTATGTTACTCAAACTCTTCAAAAATATTGTTGGGTGCGTGGGATCCTCCAAATTTAGTGCATTTTTGGAGGATCCAACACGGGTACAACAACACTTTTAAAGAATCTGAGCAACATAGCTTGAAACAATATATTATTATTTCCCTATCTATCTCTCTTTTTACCATGATTCAAAGCGGATTCAATCATGAGTTTGCAAGTTCGGTAGAACTTAATATTTCGAAATTGAATGTTATATATGTGTGTTGAAAACAAATATACATAGAGGTAGCTAGATATATATTTCATAACCTATTTTCTCTACTCAGAACCCACAATCTCTAAATTCTGAATCGGCCAACTACCAACATCTATTTCCGGTAGGCACCAATAAGCTGCAATATTATAAGAAAAATTTCATTCTATAAATGAACACATCTATTAGATCTTTTTTTTTTTCAATGTATCAATCTTCTGCTTTGAAATTGTTGATAGAATTATATATATGGCCAAAAACATATCCTACACTATTGCAACAGCATCCAAAATCTCAAGATTTAACCTTTTATATAATCTTCTCTAATTATTCAAAGCAGGTAGGGTAAGACTGCGTATAATAGACATAAGTGGTTCAGCCCCTTCCCCGGACCCCACGCATAGCGGGAACTTGCTGCACTAGGCTGTTTTTTTTTTCTTTTATGATTAAGTAGGAGGAGGATTAGTTTCTTTTTCACCATTCAGACTTGAGACAAACCAATATTTATATATCTAAAATATTTCTAATTGATTTTTGCAGTATCCCTCTACCTCCATGGGTACTTGAAGAAATCAGCAAAAATCCTGATCTTGTTTACACAGACAGATCAGGCAGGAGAAATCCTGAGTACATTTCCTTAGGTTGTGATTTATTACCTGTAATCAGAGGAAGAACACCAATTCAAGTATACACTGAATTTATGAGAAGTTTCAGAGAAAGATTCAAGAATTATTTGGGAGATGTTATAGTGGTAAGTCTTTTAACTCTTCTATGTCACATATCTAATGTCAGTATATTGACAAAGCGTTTAAGTTCTATGCATTGATCGTGTAAAAACAAAATTACAATCAGATATCTCAAAAGGTAATTGCACGTCCTTCCATATAATAAATATTGATTGGCCGAATAGTATAACGGTATGGGTAAATTTAGCCGGATAGTATAATGGAGTTTAAATATAAACAATATCCGAAAATAGAAGGATATACTTGACCCGTGTTCCCATAATAACCTATTGTAGTTCGGTGCACTAAGCTCCTGCTATACATAAGGTCTGGGAAGGGCTACACCACAAGGGTCTATTGTATACAGTCTTAAGGGCAGCTCAGTGAACTAAGCTCCCGCTATGCGCGAGGTCCGGGGAAGGGCCGAACCATAAGAGTTTATTGTATGCAGCCTTACCCTGTATTTCTATAAGAGGCTGTTTCCACAGCTCGAACCCGTGACCTCCTAGTCACATGACAACAACTTTACCTGTTACGCCGAAGCTCCCTTTCAACTTGTTGAATTACACTATAATGCGAAAATTCTTTATATTATCAATTGATATAACTTAAATCCATAAAACCAATATGTTATTAAGATAGGGAAAGAAATTGGTAAAGAAAACAAGTGAAAGATAAAGATCAATGAATTACTTTATGTCAATCTCATATGATCCACTAAACTTGTTGGTTTAAACAAATCCAAATGATGGACCACTAAAATTTAGAGCTATATTTAGAAAGTCACAAATAGGGACCACAATATTCCAAGCTAAAACAAAAGAGAAACTTCTGAAATTCAAATTCTCTTTTTCTTCTACAGGAAATACAAGTGGGAATGGGTCCTTGTGGGGAACTGAGATATCCATCTTATCCAGAAAGCAATGGTACTTGGAGATTTCCTGGAATTGGAGAATTTCAGTGCTATGACAAGGTAACCTTTTTTCACATATGTTGTTTAAAATATTAATGTATTTACTTGCATGAGAGATCCAAGATCACATGTACTAAGCTCCCGCTATGTGCGAAGTCTGCGGAAGGGTCGGACCACAAAGGTCTATTGTACGTAGTCTTACCCTGCATTTATGCAAGAGGTATTTCCACGGCTCGAACCCGCGACCTCGTGGTCACATATCAGCAACTTTACCAGTTATGCCAAGGCTCCCTTTCAGTACCTAGAAACAATGGCGGAGCAAAAAATTCCTGCGCGAAGTAGTACAATTCTTTTGCGTGGTAGAGAGTTGTAGAAGACTCTTTGTTAATAAAGTCACTGCTTAACAAAGTGGTCTTTGATATCCGTCTGGCCGTCTTACTAAGGAGTTATGTATCGGAGTTTACCTGTTTTCCCTTATGATAATGAGGGCAGCTCGAACTAACGACGGGATTCAAAAAAGTGCAAGAATGTACTACCTACCTAAAGATATTTTTGAGCCGCCTTTGCCGCTACAATAAAAGTTTTTCTTATGTCAGAGCGATTCAACAATTTATATATATATATATAAATTATTTCACCTTGTTTGTATGATATGATTTTCTAACGAAAGGGATTCAATTGAACCTTCGGTTCATGCATCTTAGCCCCTATATAGAAATTTACACAGAATGAAACAAACTAACTAACCTTTTTCTTTGTTGAAATCAACAGTACATGAAAGCTTCACTAGCAGCAGCTGCAGAAGCAAAGGGAAAGAATGACTGGGGCCGGGGCGGGCCCCACGATTCGGGACAATACAATCAGTTTCCAGAGGACACTGGATTTTTCAAAAGGGATGGAACATGGAACAATGAATATGGACAGTTTTTCCTAGAATGGTATTCAGGGAAATTATTGGAACACGGCGATAGAATCCTAGGATCAGCAGAAGGTATATTTAGAGGAACTGGAGCTAAATTATCAGGAAAAGTAGCTGGAATTCATTGGCATTATAACACAAGATCACATGCAGCAGAATTAACAGCAGGATACTATAATACAAGGCATAGAGATGGTTATCTACCTATAGCACGTATGTTCGCGAAACATGGTGTCGTGTTTAACTTTACCTGTATGGAAATGAGAGATGGCGAACAGCCACAGAGTGCAAATTGCTCGCCAGAAGGTTTGGTTCGACAAGTGAAAAAGGCGACTCAAATTGCTGGAATTGAACTAGCCGGAGAAAACGCGCTGGAAAGGTATGATGGAGGAGGATATGCACAAGTTTTGGCAACAAGTAAATCAGAGTCTGGAAATGGATTGAGTGCATTTACTTACTTGAGATTGAACAAACGGTTATTCGAACCAGAGAATTGGCGAAATCTCGTTGAATTTGTGAAGAACATGTCTGAAGGAGGTAAAACAAGACTTCCAGAATGTGACACAAGCAGGACAGACCTATATGTTGGATTTGTCAAAGAGAGTCATGCCAAAAAAACTGCAGACGCTGTAGTTGTGTAAAGATACTCGCTCGCGCCAGGGCTTTGGTTCAGTGGTAAGAGCAAAACGCTTGATGTTTGGATTAGGCACACATCACGAGTTTGAACTTTGCCAAGGACAAAAGCCTGAAATTTAAGTGGAAAAAGGTAGAGGGGTGGGCTGATTATCCACCGAATATCCAACCCTACGCCAGCTGGCCTTCGTAGATCTCTCGATTACAAAAAGAAAAAGAAAAGAAAGAGATATTCATCTAAATACATGTAAGATGGTCACAACATTGTAGTATAGCAGATAAAAGAGGGCATAAAAAGTAAAAACTAGTACAGTCCCTAGCCCTTTAAAGTCTGAAAATTATTTTCTATTACTGCAACTATATAAGAAAATAAAGAGAAGCTTAGTATGTCAATATTGCAAACCGTATTAGGGATTTGTTTGAGTTTATTTCTACTTGTCATTAGGATGATGATATACAGATATATAAGTCTTCAATCGTACTAGGACTTATATGATGAGTATATTCTTTTCTTTGTACAAAAATAATAAATTTTGAATTTCCACATTTAATATTGAATTGAAAAGCTCCTAATATTATGCCTGAGCTGTTCCAATAGTAGTATATCTGTATATGTTAATCCATGTTCACATCCTAATTATATTCATCATATACCTTATTATCTCAGCTATAACGAAATATATCAGATAATAAAGAGGTATATAACGAAAAAAAAGAAAAAAAGCAGGTGGAAAATGTTTTCACAGGTACAAAGATAAATAAGTAGAAACACAAATAAGGTTTTGCTCATCCAAAAATTTGAAAAATGGCAATTTAAACTCTCAAGATTCTTCCGTTTTGTCTCTATTGTAGAAAAGGAATAACTGCTAATGTCACTGTACCTTTTCTCTCTTTGTCTGAGTTTTGAATGGCAGAGTTAACGGTTCCTGTGTTGGTAGGAGGTAACTGATTTTCAACGCAAACAGTCGAGGTATACGTAAGCTGATACAAATACTAATGTAAAGAAAAAAAAAAGGAATGCCATCAAACCTTACAAGACAAATCTAAATCATCTACAATGAAAATATCCTATTCAAATATCAAAACTGAAATCTTGGGTATTCAAGAGACAACGCCATATGTTATTTGGTGATATCTCTAATCATAATTGAACACCTTCCTTCTCAATTTAGAACATGACTATATAGACTTCTATCTTGATAGAAAATGAAGGTAAATTCTCGAGAGAAAAACATGAATTTTAGGTTGTTACCATGATCTCAAAGAACCTTCAACCAAAGTCAAAATACCCTTCTTAACTTGTTGCGACTGAAGCTCAATCTGCAATGAATTGGAAGCTTTCAGATGTTTCTGCTATCAAAGTATAGATTTTGTCACTAATACTGTATAAATACTGACACAATGAAATTATTAACCTAGAAAAATGTTTTTTATGTGTGGTTTGATGCTTAATGAAAGTACAATGAACTCTAGAAATTTGGATTCAAATCTCATTAGAGAAGGAAAAAGTTGCATATGTGATTTTTTCGTACGCAGGGCCGGATCTAGGATTTCTAGTACATGGATTCACTATTTAAAAAAAAAAAAAAATCTATCAACTAAGAATTGATCCCTATACCTCTTAGTAAATAACTCAATTTCCAACCAAATGCACCATTCAACCTTCTAAGTTCCAATAGCTAATATTATACCAATTTTAGAAAATATATACAGTAAATAACTAATTTTACGGAAAGACCATGTGTTTATTTATCCCATAATTACACCTATAAATTCACCCCTTTTCATATGTGTAAAATTGGTGATTACAACTATCCAATATTTGCGCTAGTGTGATATGACAAATGTCATGTTGATTGAAATAATGGGACTTTTTGGAGCGATCTTATCGGAATGTTATCAAAATTTGTGTATTTAAGAAATGACCCCAGACCTGCACAAGTTCTTCAGGGGTTTCTTCACCGAATTAAATTGCTCATCGAAATCTTCCGATTTGTCATATTTTTGCTCTTCAAGATTTCTCTACTAATTCGGTAGAGTTGATATTATCATTATTCTACCTATCTGTTAACTTGTTCATTGAAGTCTACCGGATTGTCATACTCGTGCTCTTCAACAATTTCTCTACTGGGTCGGAAGAGCTGATGCTATATTTTGTCTATCTATGTTAAGTTGTTCATCAAATTATACCGGATTGACATATTTTTTTGGATTGTTTTAACAAAGTGTTTCTTTGAATTTGCAACTTCAATTTCGATAAGCCCATCCCAAATCTCCTCCAAATCATCTCACAGTCGAAACAAAGCTTCCAAATACCAACACAAACAATCATCAATCACCAATTTAGTCGAATAACATAAAATAAAAAAGACTCATTTTGTCTTCTTAACACTTTTTAAGGTCCAACAATTGAGTTTTGAGATTTTTATAGTAAATCACCAAAAATATGTGTTTGAACTAAAAGTTTAAGCACAAATTATCAATATTTAAATCGATTATTAACTTTTATTTTCAACTATCAAATAAGAATTTCAAGCTTTAAAATTAAGGAACTAGGTGTTCAAGTGGGGAAAAAGGGGACATTTTGTTAAGACCACAAAAAATAGAGACGTTCCGCCAAGATCAACCCCTTTGGGATACTCCGTGCTAGTTCTTGCAAATGTCAGTGGATTAATTCGGGTATTTTATGATGATGTCCATCTCATTGAAGAAGTATTAGGCATGTGCCTAATAAGAGTTTTCTTTGGTTTGGTAGCCAACCTTGTTGACTTGGTTTGGTTGGTAGCCAACCTTGTTGAATTAGTTTGGTTTGGTAGCCAACCTTGTTGAATTTCTTTGGTTTGGTAGCCAACTTTGTTGAATTGTGAAAAGTGTGTGTAAATTGTCAAATATTGTAGGCTTTAGAGGGTGAAGCTTTGGCTATAAAAGGAGAGCTTCAACTCTCATTTCTTCACACCAACAAAGAGAGAAAGAAAGAGTGAGGTTTCACAGACAAGGTATAAGAAAATAGTCTGTGAGGAAAATAGAGAGTGAGCGATATTGTAGTGAGGTGGGAATATCAAAAGAGGGTTATTTCTTTTGAGTGTTGTAGTGGTCTTTGGAGTATTTACCTCCGACCTACAAAGTGTAAAATTCCTTACTATAGTGATATCAGTTGCTCCTCTCGGGGTCGTGGTTTTTTCCCTTATTCAGAAGGGTTTTCCACGTAAAAATCTTGGTGTCATTGTTACTCTTTTATTCTTGTTAATTACCGTATCTCGGTGCTACATTATTATTCCGCTTTATTACCGTGAATATTATTTTGGTAAGGGGTTTATTCCCAACATTTTAAGCTCACCCCGAAATCATTATTATCAACAAATAATTTAAGTAATATATTATCCTTATTTTATATTTACAGGTAACCCTCTTTAAAGGTAGTGTATGTAAGCCTCTTTAAAATATAAAATTTGTAATCTTAAAAATTAGATAAATTATTTGCTACAATAAATTTTAAAAAAAAATTGATGGTATGAAAATTTCTTATACTAATTGTATATATACTTAAAACTTAGTAAGGAGGAGTTTAGATGTCTTGTAGTATCATTGAATTCGTTGATGGAGTAACACAAAAAACTCATAATACTGTAAAAACTCCTTCACATTCCCGCTGCTCCTGTAGAACACACCATACTTTGCCTTCAATCCCTTCAACACTTACACGCTCACCATGTCTGATTCTCACCAACACCTGCAACAACTTAACCAAATTAACGACCCTCCAGATATAGGATCCATGCAAATCGACGACACAAACATGCATACACAATCAGCTACTTTCCTACAAACTCTACTCACAGACAAATACCTATCGCCAACACCAAGCAACCAAAGACCTTCCTTAAATACCTCAGATTTAGCAAACGAAATAATCCATAACCCTACCGATGATTGTCATACCTCCTTTTTGCGCGCCTACCCCGAAGGGTAAATGCGCGAGGGAGTTTTTCCAATTTAAGTGACAATATTCGAAATGAGATTATTTATTTAATTCAGAGTCGCCACTTGGGAAAGGTTTGGCTTTTGGTGTCCCAAGTCACCGGTTTATCTTGAATCCCAATTCGAGGAAAATATTCGACTTTCCGAATAAATTCTGCGAACCAGAAATTCTAAGTAAGGAATTCTGTTGACCCGAGGGAAGGTGTTAGGCACCCCCGAATCCCGTGGTTCTAGCACGGTCGCTTAAATTGTTATAATGGCTAAATATCCGATTTTTATACATGTTATGACTTGTGTGCTTTTATTAAGTTTAAACCGCTTGTATTATTATTTATTTTTTATGGAATTGCAACGTCGTGAAAATGCATCTCGGACCACGTCACAATCAATGCGCCCGTGGTTGCTAATACATTCCGACTCCGTTGAGATTTGGATTTGGGTCACATAAATGCGCACCCGAATTTAAGAATGTAATTTGATTAAATCGCGCCTAAAGAGTCTAACGCGTTATTATCTTTGAGGATGGCAGTGAAATTCACTAAACAGTCCATCCAAGAATCTAAGTATTTATTATGACCAATTATTGAGGGCCCCGCAATTTGCATTTTTATTGGCGAGGCTCGTCTCATTTTTATTTTTATTTTTATTTTTTAAAGGATAAATCTATAGTGACTACATTTTTCTATTATGTTCGTCTCTAAAAATGAAAGAAGAAGATATACGCGAATTAAATTACCTGCTTGGCAAGCTCCGACCTCTTATTAATTATTAGATTACAAAAATGCTAACGAAAATTGCACTCGAATTTGTAAAGCGGGGATTTACTTCGTACCTTATTCCATGGGCGAACTGCTAAAAAAAGGATATGCATGCAAGATTGACAATATGCTAAGCTCAAGCTAATCGTTCTTCAAGTTGAACTTAAACTAGCATTTTTTTTTACTGAGATTACTGGAATTAACTACTAGAGGATATTATTAACGGGATTCAAACATTGTCCTATAAACTGCCTAATGAAATCCGATTTTGATAGAGTTAAACTCAAATGATTAAGAGCTATATTGCATTTGGCAAGGTTAGAAGCAGTCGGCCTTATATGTGTAAAATATGACTAGAGCTAAAGTCTAGTTATCGATGTACTAACTACTTGGGCATTCCACAAACTACATAATCATATCATATATACAACTAAACAACTATAGATCACAGTATTAAACAAACTAAGTTTCAGTTAAGTACAATCTACCTAATGTATTTTTCTATTGAGTTATAACCCCCCAAAAAAACTACACAATCCACTAACACTTTATAAAACTACAAGTACAACACCAAATGATTAGAATCCTTCGTATCTTTCATTTCATGCTCAATTTTACTGTTACATCAGTGTGAAATTCAAGTGTGTACCTGGATATTGGACACAAGAAGGAAAAGAGGAGTGATCAGTGCGACAGCAGTGATAAAACAGCAAACAGCAACAGCAGCAGTAACAAACGAACAGAATATACCCCAGTGGACAGAACCAGAATTAACTCAATGAAACAGTACTCAAATAACCAAACAAAACAGACTCCGGAGAC